AAGTGGAGACGCAGAGCGACCTCTTCGTTGGTTTTTAGTTTCTCCCTGTTTTTTAGGCATTTTTTGTATAGTAGCAGAGAGAGTTTTAAATAAATTAAATTAATCACACGTGCACATGTGACAATAATAATACAAAATATAATTGGATATCAGTATATGCAGGACAGAACCACATTGCATGTGAATTGGCTAGTAAGTTGTTCTCCACTATGCTTCGGACAATTAAGAATATTATGTTTAATAAATATATAATCTTAAAATATTAATTAAAGCAGCTGATTTTATTGTATAATATCTATTTTTATAAAAGAAATTGTGATTTAATAAATAATTGATTTTCTTAATATACTTAAAATCTTAATAATTTTCTATTTATAACATTATATCGATCATTTGTCGATCATTTCTAAAATTTACGTTGATTTTCTATAAAATCTAATTTATTATTTGATTGGTGTTACATAAAGATGAGAGACGAAACCCAAAAAAAGTAATTAATAAACAGCCAAAATGATATTAAAATATAGTGAGGGATACGACGAAACCTGAAACCCGAAATTAACTGAAACTATATTAAAAACAGTTAGGGGTATGATAAAATTATTTTGAGAGAGTTTCGGTGAGTGTTATACAAACATTTAACGGCTTGCTTTCTTAATAAGCTCCTCTAAAAATTTAAAGTTCATTTAATATACTATAATATAAATCAAAACTTCCTTTTTCATGTGTTTCATTGATTGCAAGGTGCACATAACCTTTTAACTTTATCAATGACCTGTAGATTACCGGATTTTTAGAATTTAAAGCATCAACTTTAATTTTAACTTCTGAGTTTATTTGTGTGATAAATGATATTGAAGATAGTTGATCATTCGATCATTCACCTATTTTTTGTTTTTTTAAAAAAAAGTGTGTGTGTGTGTGTGTGAGAAAGAGAGTGAGAGAAAAAGAAAAAGAAAAAAATATATATAAGCACATTGTCGGATTCAACCGATATATGTAATAACTATTTGGTTCTCGAGCGTGTAATGAAACTCGATGACGTTAATTCAATGAAATCCAATGGAACTACATTTCTATTGGAGATATCATCTCAAAGAGATGCTAAATGACTTTGCATTGTTCAGACTGCGCAAAATAATGAACAATCCTATTCAGATTTATTTGTGTTTGACAAAACAAATAAAGTCGGGATGAATTCATTTGATTAATTTAATTTCGTAATCCTTTTCATCTAAACAAGTATACACTTAGTTCTGAAATATTACGAGATCATGAGATGATTTTTTTTCGATACATCTCACTTTTACATTGAGGAAATCCCAGACTTATCACAGATCAACGTTTGTACTTTTATTTGTAAAACAAGTTCATCTAGTTCATCTGATGACGTTTTATTTAAATAATATTGATAAATTAACATCAAACTTTATTGAAAAGACAAATATAATAATGAAAACATAACTTAATACTTTTATAATTATCTCCATTTAATCTATTCAACATAAACCTAACCATGAAGCAAATCTCATGAATTCGACTTATCTTCAACGCTCTTCTCAATTCTATTGACCTCATTGATCAACCATAACCATTCAACCAAGAAATAATAAAATGTCAGTATCGTGCACATCTAAAGAAAAAATTAAATTTCCAAGTATCGAATAACATTAATATGTTCAATTCTTTAATGAAATTCTAGCAAAAAAAGCAAATCCACATTCGCAAAATCAGTTAATATTAAATAAACTAATTATAATCAATGCAATATTTTGAGATATAGAAAAACTAGGAAAGTTAGGAGCCGCAGGACCTTTGAGAACAATGCCATGAAAAATGATGATGGAACCACAAGCTTTAATCAAACAATTTTAAAATTGCTCCGTTGATATTATTGCTGATTTGAATTCATTGTCCCATTTTGGTTTGAAGGTGGTTCCCTTGGAATTAATGTTTGATAATTGATTGATAATCGACATGGACGCCTCAGGCTGCTACAATTGAAATCATTAGTTTAACAACCGAACATAAAATCAATGATTTGAACGCTACGATATCTCTTATGGTTGTTAATTCCTTTATCAGCGGAATAGGTTATACGTGTTCTAAATTTGCTTTAAGGTTTCTTTAAAAGTTTACAATGTGAGCTTATACAATGGTTTATCTGATTAATGTTTTTTTTTATTCTTATATGTAAAATTAACATTAAATTGTTAGAAAGACGATCCCAAAGAACTCGGCTGATGAATTTGCTAAAATTATTGATGAATGATAAAGAAATGGTTTTTACTTATATTGAAAAACTTTATAGTTTTATGAAAATATTTTTTCCTAATTTATTGGCCTTTATTTCTTATAAACGGTAAGAAAAGTAAATGATTATATTAGCTTTAAACACGATTACATTATACCATTGATCTATCTATCTATTTATTTATCCTTTATAAATCCCACCCACAGAAAGTTATCATATGAATATATGCAAAATGAAATTTTATCATGACGTTTTATAATAAAAAAATTTATTTTATAATTAAATTGAGTTCTCATTTATAATAACACCAAAGTATTTGTTAACATAAATAATTTATTCTTAAAAAAAGCTTAAAAAAACGACATAAAAGAATTTATCATGCACGAACTCTACAATAGATATTATGACAACTATTTAAAAACATAAATTAAAAAAATAAAACTTAAATTGTTTTCATAGGATAGGTCTTTCCATCGATCCCAGATACGTCAACATTTAATTGATAAGTTAATAATATGAATAAGTGTATAAATATTTTAGAACCTAATTAATTATTTTTTTTTTTTTATTTTTTTTTTTTAAAAAAAAAAAAAAAGGTGTAAAGTATGTAGTTGGGTCCCCCATTTTATCCCGAAAATTCTGAAAATGATTTAATTATCGTTGTTAACTATAAATCTGCAAGATACAAATGTCCTCTTTGCAAGGT